CATTTTCCCATCTCATCCTAGTCACCGGTGTTCAATCTGGTATAAGTGAAGCAATATGCGAAGAGGATGGCATCTTACTCATTTATCTTCAACGACGGTTGAAGCGATGGGCCGAAGATTTTAACCCTCAATTTTGATGACCTTCAGTTCCATATGCTTCCTCTGGCGCTTGCACTGTTACCGAGTGGTATATCCTCACAGATCTCCCCTCTCATCAGAAAATCGTACACGAGCTCCGTCATATGAGGCGTTATAAGGCCCCCAGCCCTGATAGTCTTCCGCTCTATTTAAAGACGGTGACGATTCGTTGGTTCGAGAACTCACCGCTTTGTTCTCGAAAGTTAAGTGCCATGGAGAGGTGCCCTCATCTTGGGGTGAATCGGTAGTCGTTCCCATCTTCAAAAAGAGCTTGCGCACAATCTGCTCCAACTACAGAGACATAAGCTCAGTTCCCGTTTGCAAGCTTCTGTTGTCCATCATACTTCACTGACTATCCCCAACGCGCGAATCGCTGGAGCGAGCAGAACTGGCTGGGTTTCGCCCTGATCGCTACTGCATCGATCAAATTTTCACACCGCTGACCCTCGAACTCCGCCGTATGTATCAAAGGCCAACGATTGCTGTGTTCTTGGATATCCATGCGGCCTTCGATTCTTTCGGTAGTGCTATACTGCGACACTACGTGCTGAGGAATGGCGTCCCCGAGAAATTCGTCTCCATACTGCGCGCTCTCTATAGGCTGGCCTCGGATAGAGTTAGGGCTTATGGCAAGCTTTCTTTTTCCTATGTGGTCTCTAGTGGACTTGGACAAGGATGCATTGTCTTTCCGTGTTTACTCAAATTTTGCCATTGAGGATGAATAAAAGAATGCTCTGAGCGTTTCGTTGAACGCTGGCGTTGAGCTCCTTCCAGGTAGTCGAGTTGATGATTTGGACTATGCTGACATCATCTTGCTGGGTGACAATCCACACGCCGCCCAGCTTGCATCAAGCCGCATCGCGATTGAATCATCAAAGTATGGTATGTACTTTTCGCCATCCAAATGCAAGGTCCTCTTTCAAGACTGGCAGGTGCCTGTACCCGCACTCACTTTCGGTGGTGTAGGTTGTTGCGAGCTGTCTAGGGAAGTTGCATCGCTGTTGGCGGGGCTCTTGAAGACGTGATCGATACGCATCTCAAGAGCACGTCTCGCTTTTTCTGAGGCACTTGGGCCGTCTTCACGACATCCGCCATTGCATCAAAGGACGGATCTATTGTGCAACTGGTACCAGATGATCTTCATCCAGTCTTCTTCAAATTCGATGAACGTATTCTCGTGGATAATTTACACGAGTTACTAGTGAAACTGTTGGAGTAGGAAATTGTCCCCACCGACCGGATCCGCTCCGTCGTATTTTCGATCTTCAAGGGAGGCTCCTGTTCGAAATGCGACAGGCATAGAGGAATCAGTCTGATCCCTACCGCCTCCAAATTACTTGTTTCTGTAATCCTTCACTGACTGATTGGCACTCGTGAAAGCCAGATTCCTGAGGAGCAAGCCGGGTTTCGTCATTGTCGATACTGCATGGACCACATATTCACTGTGTCAATCATTGGAGCGCCATCACTTATTGGCTGCCCACTGTTGTCGTGTACCACGATATCAAAGGTGTCTTCAGTTCCTTGGGTCGATATATCCTTCGGGGCTGTCTCCTCAGGAATCGCGTGTCCGGGAAATAAGTGGTCATTGTCCGAGCGCTATACGCGGGTGGCTCAAGCAGGGTGAGGGTTTACGACAACCCCTTACAGCCCTTCAATATTTTCAGCGGTAAAAGGACAAGGATGCCCGCTGTCACCTTTCCTTTTCAGCTTCGCCATTGTCGAAGCCATGGAGATCGAGTCCATAGGACACGACTTGGAAGGTGTGGAGCATCATTCATTCATTTGCTATACACCTTAGCCAGAGGTAGAACTATCTCAGCTACTGTGCCGCAATACACAAAAGAGAAAACGGAAAATGCAACAGATGCAAGCCAGCTGAGCTACCAGTAACGAACGGACATCGTTCCGGAAAGCTAGCAGCCGGTTGCTGTGCAGCAAACAATTTAATGCCCAAATTATATTAGGCTAAGAAGTGTGATCATATTTGGAGTGGGAGACTAAGAGGGATGTGATGGGACAAAAATCTCACAGCACGAACGCTATTGAGATCGGCTCTTTGCCATGTCAGCAAATGTATCCAGTCAAACGTGTTCGGTTTTTTTCAGACCCCAATTATGGAGTTGAGCAGCTCCAACCTAGGCCATTTTCGAAGCAAAGGCCTTCATTCCTCTCGACCACCCCTCTTCTTTAATCCACACTCTGGAGCGCAAACAACGCATGTCGCGGGAGTCGGTGAGCTGCCGTGCATAACATGTAGCCGAGCCATCAGGGCCTGGTGCGTTAAATAACGGTGTTGAGCGGTTCGCTTCTTCTTGCTGCATCAGAAACAAGGCGTCGAACACGCTCGTCCCTCATTCAGTGTTCCCACCACATGCGAGCCAAACTGCGAAGGCGCCGGTGGTCGGACGTAACTAGCCTCTTTATGTCAGCTGATCTTTGAGACCATGTTTTACAACCGTACAGTAGGATCGAAAGTACCGCTGCATTGTACACCCTACCTTTCAGGGCGAAAGTGATGTGTTGCTGGCGCCAGAAGTGGCGAAAGCTTGCAAAAGTTTCTGTTTCGCTCCGTCAAAATAGAGCCTGATACATTTCGACATACTTCCGAGAAAGCAGCGTGCTTCATCAATGGGCTGGTAAGGGTTGGTTCACTGAGATTTGAAGAGCGGGAGGAAATACTTTCGGTCAGCTTCGTCTATTCCTATTCTGTACAGGGTTGATGCAACTGGTCGAGAGATGGCATTCCTCTGGAGAAGTTCGTCATTGCAGTAGGAAGAGGAGAATTGTGTATGTATACATGTATATTTGTCAGCAGTATATAAATGGATATAGAACCATCGAAAAGTCGTAAGGAACGAAATAGAAACAAATGTCAGGAGCAGATACCAAATATTTTCTGCGTTTCTTGGGTTTTCTTCTTCAGATTTGTTTTCACACGCCGTTTTACATTTTTTTGGCATTTCGAATGGTATAGCTCTAATCATATTGTCCAAAACATTTCAATACACAGTCCTTCCACTGATTCCGGTTTCGAGCCATATATCCAAGTGTGTCGAGTCATCTGCAGTCCTCAACCTTGGGGCTCTAGGCAGGAAGAGGTACTTGGCCAACGATTGCGAGACAGGAAGTCAGCGATTTCATGGTTTGCCACCAAGTGGTTCACTGACGTTCTCTTCCAATTCAATCCCGTGCAAACAAATAAGGCGCGGCGTGGTAAGCGCTCGCATGACATACGTAGAAGTGGGCAAACTACCTCAAATGAGGCTTTGAGATAAGGCGATCAAGCGGACTTCATCGTTGTGAACCCGGTGCCGCCACCACACATGGGCTATCCGCCGCAAACATGTGTTGTCGAAGGTCGAAAGTCTACGCACGTCAACCACACGAATCGGGCAGGACTCACTTCTTTACAACAGGACCGCGCAGACACAAACGTTGTAGACCACCTGTGTAAGAAGAATGAGATGTCCCGAGGACTGCTCAAATGACTCAGGTTGGTAAATGCCGACCGGGCATTGGCGATAAGAAGATACTTTCTTCCCAACAGTGCCATCAGCAGAAATACAGTTTCTGAGGTAGACAAAGTTGTTCACAAACTCAAGCTGTGTTCCTTCAATGGCAAATGCGGGGGCAATCGACTCCCAGTCCTATAGTAGCACTTTAGACTTTAGGGGTAACGGGAACGCCATATTTAGACGCTTAAACGCGACGGTCAAAAAAGAGCTGTATCCTCTATGAATCGTCACCGAGCAGAGCGATACCATCGGCATAAGCTAAGTCGGCCACGCGATTACCAAGAAGAAGCTCAAGATCAAGATTTCAGGGGCATTCCAGAGATCTCAGAAGGTTATCCTCAATTACAAAGTTGAAGAGGAATGGAGATAAAGGGCACGCCTGTCGCACACCACTAGTGATAGCGAATGGTGAGGAACGCTTGCCACTGACCCTCACTCTACATGACACTTGGAAGTAAAGCGCCCGAATGATAGAAGTGTATTTTTCGGGGGCTCCATTTCTTAGCAAGCAGTGCCATAAAACAGTCCGATCGACCGAGTCAAATGCAGCCCGAATGTTCAGGGAAAGGACAATGGTTGGCTTGTGGTAGATATGGCGGTGTTCAAGGATTTGGCCTAGTGTGAAGATCTGGTACACGCATCATTGATCAGGGCGAAAACCAACTTCTTCTTTTCGAAGAACATGGTCGTTGCAATAAGAACAACAGAATCTCGTCATACACACCAGACAGCAATTCAACATCCTTTTAAAACTTTCCTATGTCTGTGCATCGGAAATGTTCACCGGTAGGCTGTCCCAATCATTCATGGTAGTAGATGGCATTATTAGGTAATAACTGAAGATGATGTAGAGCGGTTCATGTAGCGTTGCCACGAATGTAATATGGAAACACAAAGCCTAAACGCCGGAGGCACGTGGGTCAATAGTCAGGATTAAACGAATCCATATCCCAATCACAAAATAAGCCTAGATATGTTGTGAAAAGGAGTGGCAAAACGTAGTCTAAGTCTTGATAAAAGATTTACTGTGTAGTGAACTTCGATAAGTTCGACCGAGCAGTGAGACGGTGTGTGGAGAATAACAAAGTCAGGAGTTGTCCGCTGCAACCCTGCACCCTACGAGCAGTTTTGTCCTTATTTGTACCCTCTACATAGAGGTAAGCAGGATGGAACTGGAACTCAGAACGAAGAGATTGCCGGTGGTGTTTTTATCGGTAGAGATATGTACGAAAAATCCTTATGCACTGAGCCTGAGCCCAGTTTCGGACATTTCTATCTGGAGAGAGCAAATGAACATGTGGCGGGGTCCATGTGTAGGAAAATATCACTATCGTTTACTAAGATTTAGTCGAAACTGAAAAGTGTGGGGGTGAACATAAGTAAAGATAAACTATCCCATTTGCAGCCAAAGGAACGAAAGGCTACATACTGTTGGTGCAGTTGCACAATATTGCTCAGGAAATCCTCACCTTTGGAAGCGAATTTCTGCAACGGTGTTTGAGAAGCAGAGGAGGCATCACCATCCGGACCCTTGATCCTTCGGTGCCGTAAAAGGGAAGAAACCTCATCCGACGTATTTGTGGACTTCACTGGTGTACGAACTTCATGATCCTACAACAGTTGAAAATAGCTATCGTGGTCGATATACCATAACAGTGAGTTTGGCCAACATCAAAGGGTCAAAGCGCCTGAGAATCTGTTGGGCTTTGTTAAATGTCTCCGTCTCCATAACAGTTTCCAGCTACGGAAATGTCAAACTAGTGAAAGGTGGGCAACTCACGATGCGCTGCTTATCGGCTCGAAGAATCTTTAAGCGCTCGTCTAAAGAAACAGAATCCAGATAATTAGTGAGAAACTACCTGCTCTCGAAACCTGCTTCAAGAAGAAGGCGTGGAAGGCCCATTTGAGTAGACTCACACTAGAGGAGCATTAGGACAATGGGTGGGGGCAAATTACGCCGAGGGGTAGACGAAAAACGAGGCCCACAAAACCGCTTTCCCGAGTTGCGATGTGGGCCAGTAATAGTAGTAAACCACGATGAAACCGACTCCGAAAACGATGAAGGAGTACACGAACAATCGAAATACGAAGCGCTTCTCTGTGTCAATGCTTGAGAGCCGCATCGACTCTAAATCTGATATAACCTAAGTCATGCAAGTAGTCTTATCTAACGCAGTGCGTAACATACTTGCTCGAGTTCTTCCAGTCTTTCAAGGATTGATTTGGGATGGCGCTTGAAATGTAATAAGAAAGTTGGCAACACACCTGGAAAAGCGAGGAAATCCACGATAACAATCGCATGTTTCGATAGATGTAGTCAAGAAAAGTGAAGCCAGTAAGGGTCTGTGTTCAAAACAGACATTATGGTTTGATGAATGCAAGTGTCGACAGAAGACGGTGTTCCTCAAGGAGTGAAATAATCTGAAACGGTAAGGGCATTTGTTAAAAGCAGCAAACAGCACGGGGAGAAAATTATCTACAAGATTACAAGAATATAAAAGGAGCCTGTCACAACTATTACGCATTATCACTGGCCTCATTATTATCAACAGCAGCTATTTGAACTGATGATTCGCTATCGTACAACCATGGTGTACGTATTCGCAACCTACAGTTGATCTAGGACATTTTAATCTAGGTAAAAGACATTCCCCTTTATTGGGTTTCCCCAATTCTGTTACTCTGGTGCATATTCTGTGTCAAGTTTGCGTGTTTGCTTTCCGTTAAATTCTACATTGGTGGTTTGATAACCCCGGTGTGACAGAGCTTGATGTAAATGTTGACAAGATGTCTACCTGTATAACACAATCTACCTCGACTACTGGTTACAGGAGACTGAATCGTTGATGCGGGGATGGGATGCACGGCTCTCGTGACCGTGCCAGGCGCAAACAGTAGTTCCATTTATCTAGTGTAAAGCAGATTACGTCCCAGCCGCCGCCTTGTGTACGTCTGGTGCGCATGATTCCCCATATAAAGACAGGAATGCTGTAGCTGTGCGTATTGAAAGAGTATGGGCCGGCTCCGTTGATGAAACGTGGCTCCCACCCACATGCCTCCCGATTTTATTCCTTCGGGTTTACACGGTACATGGGGTGTATGGATGGAGCTGTGGGTGGGCGTCCCGTGGCTGTCCTATGAAGCCCACAGTGACAAGCATATCGGGAACCGGATGCTGCCAACCATTAGCAACAGTAGCGCTGAGGCTTGTTGTGGCTAGACCCTGACAGATGGTCTACCAACTGCTGCTAATGTTGTACCATGGGCTCTAATTCTGGACGCCTCGTGGCGACCGCTGGGTGAAAGTTAAGTTGCGTTTTCCTTCTAGCTAAGAGTTAGGATACCGATGCGCATGAGCCAGTGAACTGACGATGTGCTAGATCCGATGCCTTTGGGGTGTAGATTCCATCAAGTCGTTCTCCTGTCAGTAGTCAAAACTCCATCCTCTTCGGAGATTAGGAAGTGGTCGATGGCCCCCTTCCCGTAAAACCTAGCCAGGGGTGACAACAGGTCTACGGGTTATAAGCTCACAGCTCCATTAGCGTAGAGCACGAGCGTCACGCACTGTCTCTGACAGTAAGAGGGCACCTCCGGGTTCTCAATGGTTTGCTACTGCAGCCCCTGGTCAAATTTGTGCAAACCGGCCAAAACCCTCCTGCGTCTGGCCGTGGTCGCAAGTGCGCATCTTACTAAGGTTGCAAAACCCATATGAATTGTTCCAGATCTTCGAAGACTTTGTGTGACTGACCTCAAGGAGATCCAAAGGGGTCACTGCAATCAATCTCCTGAGCTGGATGTGCTCCCCACTGTTTTGTGGGTCGGGCTATTGAGCCAAAGGCTCCGGGTGGAGTTCCTCAGGCAAACTTCCGAAGCACAACCACAATCACGCGTGCGATTGCCCACCAATGCAATCGTACGAATGCGCGCCAAGCACTCAGCATCGGGTGTTGGAACGTGCGCACACTACTGGACCAGAACTTCAGTGAGCGCCCCCGATCGACTCACTGCACTAGTCGCAATGGAACTGGCGCGCTACAACATCGATATTGCGGCGCTCAGTGAAACCCGGCTCGCTGAGCAAGGTAAGTTACCTGAAGCTGGTATCGGCTATACTTCCTAATGGGTGGGAAACGCCATCTCAGCACTCCAAATATAGGGTCGGATTTGCACTTTTTGATCGCCTAAATAGCCAGATGGTGGGTGAACCAACTGGTATCAGAGCGCGACTGATGGCTGTTCGTCTACGACTCGGAAGAGATACGTTTGCTACTTTTATCAGCACGTACGATCCGATCATGTGTTAACCTGATGACAAGTGTGATCAGTTCTTCTCTCAGCTATTCTCGGTGATACAGCTTGTGCCGAGGAGCGAAGGACTATTTCTTTTGGGTGATTTCAACGCGCGCGTTGAGCGTGATGCATCGGTGTGGACAGAAGTCATCAGTCCGCATGGCATTGATTCAGTGAATGTGAACGGTGACCGGCTATTGTCACGGTGCGTCACGCACGGCCTGCTTGATCACGAACACTCGATTTGCAATGAGTGCGAGTGATAAAGTAACTTAGACGCACCCACGGAGTGGTCACGCTCACCTGCCTGACTGCATCATCGTGCGTCAGCGTGACATGCGTGAAGTACGCATGACACGTGTACTGCGTGGAACTAAGTGTGGCAATGATCACAAGATGGTGTGGACCGAGCTGTACATATAGTTTCGCCACTGTAGTGAGACTAGATCTTACCGTGCTGCGATGGTTGGCGTGCCTCAGAAATCCATTGAGCTATGCTGGGTGGTGCTATTTTGAATCTTCAGAGCCACTTATACCAGATTGGTCAATGGTTAGAGGCCAGACAAAGCCAGTCTTCTGACACTCCAGGTTAGGGGTTAGAATAAGAGTGGCCCTTTATTCCTTAAAACGGACTCCTTGTAGTCCACTACCAAATCCGCTACGTTGCAGACCAAAGCCTTTGGTTGAGAACCCTAATCGTTCTTATGTCTAGGCATGGACAACCTGACAGCATCGTGCCCACGCAATATTAGGAATTTTCCCCCTAACAATTCCCTGAGACTCTGGCCACCAAAGATGATAACCAAAGGTGCCCTATCTGCTGCATCGAGCAGGGCGGATAGGGGTTTGGATGCTACTGCTTAAGCCTTCCCGTCTTCCTATTCCCCTCTTACGTCTTTTCACCCTTATCGTCCAGCTCCAACCTCACTTTTATCCCCTGTTTTAAACCGCAATTTTTAGCCAACCCCTGACTTGCATTGATAGTCGTTTATTTGCTAGTTTCAACTCACATGCAAACGCGGAGCGTCACTCCGGCCCTGTCAAGAAACTCATGTCCAAGCAAACGCTGCACCCCAGTTCATCGGTTTCCATGCTGAGCCCTCGATCCTCCCTCAGATTGACATGCCTCAACGTACGCATATTGTTACATATCGGTCAACAGGCAGCACTGGCCCGAACATTAGAGACCCTCTCGATCGACATCTGCTATTTATCGAAAACCCGCCTATAAGACCCAAACTTTGTTCTCACTCTGCGACCCCCTTCAGGTAACCCTAGCAGTGCTTTCGCATCGCGCCTATTCGGCGACGATGCAGCTGCGAGTACCGGCCAAGCCTGTGTTGATATAGCCCTGAGTCTCCGGGCTGAAGCTGCTCTGGTTGATTGGATCCCAATCAGTAGCCGGATGTGTGCGGTCCCACTGGCTGGCTCGTTCAAAGTTTCGAAGTTGCGTGAGGTTGACAGGTGTCTATTCGTCATCACTGTCTACGTGTCCACAAATTCTAACGCTAAGAAGTGACTTCTATTGTCAACTGAACGAGCTCCTTCGCCACTGAAGAAACACGGAGACAGCAGTGCCTGCTGGGGATCTGAATGCTCAAGTAGGGAAGTTATCCGCTGATGAACTGCATCTGGGCGGCCAACATGGTGTAGGCTCCCGTAATGATAACGGTGAGAGGTTACTTCATTTGTCTGAAGATGCTCGCTTACTTCCTGCGAGCATTAACTTCCGACACAGCACTCGTGGGAAGTTGAAATCGCGACCACCAAGCTCGAACCAGCCATTGAGGCAAATCGATCACATCGCGATCAGTTATTGCTGGAGGCTGGGTCCAGAAATGTCGCTCGATTTGGAGCACATGTGTGGACACTGATCATGCACTTGTATACGCTGATCTGCGACTGCGTTTCGGTGGTCACCCACGACGATCCTGTGAGCACATACATACCAGCAAAATAGCGAAGCCATATGTTCTGAATGCGTATCGAAGTACGCTGAGTTGCGGGCTGAGCAAGAGCTCACCGAATACAGCCGAAGGTCACTGGCCGCATGTTCACCAGACTTTACTAGCAGCAGGCAACTTCTCATGTGATACGTCTAATAGCCAACATGGACGTTGGGTCTCTTCGCAGTTTCTGGAACTTATCGATGCTCACTGGCATATTCCGGCTGAAAGCGAACACAACATGACTCGCAAAGAGATCAGGGCAAAACTCCGTGCTAGCCTGAAGAGAGACCGCGAATTCTGGTGGCTTTTCGTGCATCAGAGATAGAAGTGGCCGCTGCCCTTGATAACCATAGGAAGTCATTCCGTCTGATACGGGAAAACGGCCAGCAGGAAACGTGGTGTTAGTGAAGCTATCCGTGACGAGAGTGAACGGCCTATGAACAACCTACCAAAGCGTTTGGAGCGTTAGACTGAACACTTTGAAGAGCAATTTGATCGGCCGAAATTGTTAGATTCATCTCCGGCCAGTGATCGCCCTGCTCCCTAGGCTGTCCCTTTGGATCCATCCTCTTGCTCTGAAGTCGAACGTGAGATCAGACTGTTGAAGTTGAATAAAGCAGCGAGACCAGATGATCTTTCTCCATCCCTTCAAAATCGGAGGACCTGCTCTTGTGGATGACTTACACGAGTTATTAGTGAAACTACGGGAGCAGGAAATTGTCACAAGGGACGGGAGCCGCTCTGTTATTGTTCCGATCATTAAAATACGCTTGCATTCAGAATACGGCAAGTATAGAGGAATTAGTCTGATCCCCATCGCATCCAAATTACTTGCCCCGATAATCCTTCACGTACTGACTAACAATCGTGAAAGCTAGATTCGTGAGAATCAGACCAGGTTTCGTCGTGTTCGGGGATGAATTGACCACATATTCACATTACGTCAGTTGTTTGAGCACCGTCACTTATATTGGTGGCCCACCGTCGACGTGTTCCTCGACATCAAATATACCTTGGATTCAGTGGATCGACGTGCCCCTTGACACTGTCTGCTAAAGACAT